TAAACAGCAGGGGTCCACAGGCAGACAAAGAAAAGTTGGAATCTCAGGACTGATAGGAAACCACATATTTTGGGTGATAACTGGAGGCAAACAATAGGAAAGGCTGGAATCTCCTGCATCTGAATGTAATCTGTTGCTCATTATACTCTCATTACAATGCAATTAGCATTGTAAATAAGTTTCCATCAAGCACCAAAACCATGACACTTCTGATCAAAGCTAAATAAGGGCAAAAACCCCCCCTCCCATCTGGAAGGTGGGGCTGGGAAGGAACTCAGGGATTATCTCCCCCCTGCCCTTTCTGCTCCAGTGACTATTCTTCCCTTTCATTTGTATGTCCCCATAACCGTGAAGAATCACTGCACCCATCATAGCAGGGTGGAAATATTTAGATGGTTATTAAGAAATGAGATTAATAAAACAGATATTCAGTTCAGTACCGTTCAGTCGCTCAGTCGTGTCCAACTCTTTGTGACCTCATGGACTGCAGTATGCCAGGCATCCCTGTCCATAACCAACTCCCGCACTTTACTCAAACTCATGTCCATTGAGTCGGTGATGCCATCCAACCATCTCATCCTCTGTCGTCCCCTTCTCCTCCTGCCCTCAATCTTTCCCAGCATCAGGGTCTTTTCAAATGAGTCAGCTCTTTGCATCAGGTGGCCAAAGTACTGGAGTTTCAGCCTCAACATCAGTCCTTCCAATGAACACCCAGGACTGATCTCCTTTAGGATGGACTGGTTGGATCTCCTTGCAGTCCAAGGGACTCTCAAGAGTCTTCTCCAACACCACAGTTCAAAAGCATCAATTCTTCAGTGCTCAGCTTGCTTTATGCTTGACGCCTCACTGGAGAACCAAAGCCTCTTACACAGGAATGGGTAAAATATACAGGGAATGAAAAGAAGTTTCTGGGACTCTGATTCAGGAACCCCACATGCTGCGGTACCACAATCCACTGATGGAACCCAGACTTAGGCTACAACTAGATTGAGAAAATGTAAAAGCACAAGGGATGATAGGATTACAAAAGTTGGAAAGCTGGAGTAGATGTTATACAAAAAGGCTGTGTTGATGTTACCTGAGTGTTTTATGGGACTGTCTGTTTTGACTGGCTGGGAAAATTTACCCTTCCCAGTACTGTAAGACTCAGACTTACAGACTGGATTTTGTGGAGGCTGTGGTTAGAGGTATAAGTGTTGAGGAAATTGAGCTGAACATTTGTAGGGCAATCGATGTATCTGAATGGGCTTTATGTAAAGTGGTCATATCTCTTTTTCCTAAATGTGTTGTGAGATGAACACTGTGTCTCATTGGGGAATATTTCCCCTGCCTGGTATTGTAAGACAAGACATACAAATCCACCCTTCCAACAATGTTAGCTGAATCTCCTAGGGCTTGTAAGTAGGCTCGTTTGAGCACACACAGTGTGAGATGGAAGCTGAAGGCCAATGATCATGATAAGGGAAGTGACTGTAATTATCTTGAAAATCTCTTCAAAATCAGAAATATAAGCACAGTCCACAATTGCATGAGATTCAATTCAGTTCAGTCACTCAGTCATGTCCAAATCTTTGTGACCCCATGGACTGCAGCATGCCAGGCCTCCCTTCCCATCACCAACTCCTGGAGTTTACCCAAACTCATGTCCATTGCATTGGTAATGCCATCCAAGCATCTCATCCTCTGTCGACCCCTTTTCCTCCCACCTTTAATCTTTCCCAGCATCAGGGTCTTTTACAAAGACTCAGTTCTTCACATCAGGTGGTCAAAGTAGTAGTTTCAGCTTCAGCATCAGTCCTTCCAATGAATATTCAGGACTGATTTCCTTTAGGATTGACTGGTTGGATCTTCTTGCAGTTCAAGGGACTCTCAAGAGTCTTCTCCAACATCACAGTTCAAAAGCATTAATTCTTCAACACTCTGCTTTCTTTACAGTCCAACTATCACATCTATACATGACTACTGGAAAAGCCATGCTTTGACTAAATGGACCCTTGTTGGTAAAGTAATGTCTCTGCTTTATTTAATATGCTATCTAGATTGGTCATAGCTTTTCTTTCAAGGAACAAGTATCTTTTAATTTCAGGGCTTCAGTCAACATCTGCAGTGATTTTGGAGCCTCAAAAAATAAAATCTGTCACTGTTTCCCCATCTATTTGCCATGAAGTGATGGGACCAGATGCCATGATCTTAGTTTTCTGAATGTTGAGTTTTAAGCCAACTTTTTCACTCTCCTCTTTCACTTTCATCCTGAAGCTCTTTAGTTCATCTTCACTTTCTGCCATGAGGGTGGTGTCATCTGTGTATCAGTGGTTATTGATATTTCTCCTGGAAATCTTGATTCCAGCTTCTGCTTCATCCATCCTGGAGTTTCACATGATATGCTCTGCATACAAGTTAAATATGCAGGGTGACAATATACAGCCTTGACATACTCCTTTTCCTATTTGGAACCAGTCGCTGTTCCATGTCCAATTCTAACTGTTGCTTCCTGACCTGCATACAGATTTCTCAAGAGGTAGGTCAGGTGGTCTGGTATTCCCATCTCTTTAAGAATTTTCCACAGTTTATTGTGATCCACA